TGGGGAGATGGATGTCTCGAAAGAGGTCGTCTGCCGCCTTCGAACAGAGAGGTTTTGGGGCTTGATATAGCTTAGTTAAGACAGCGGCAAAAGTATCCACTATTTTAGAGGGGTTGGTGGTAATGATTTTGTTAGGTAGGCATAATCTAATCGGGGTGGTGTTGCGGGTATCGGCCTTGAGGAGATTGGCCAACATCGGGCCCGGTTTGTTGGTGCAAGAGTAAAATTTATGTCTGGACCATTTGAGTTGTTTTTCAGCCTTATCATACAGAAGGAGGTTAAGTTCTACTCTAGTAGCTTCTATTTGTTTGTGCAGAGAGGTAAAGTGGAATTGATTAAATTGGTTTTCTAGTAGCGATAGGTTGGATGATAAAAAAAAGTCACTCAAGCTTCTCTGTCCCGCTTTCTGCGAGAGGCGATTTGTATAACTTTCCCCCTGAGTGTGACTTTGTGGACTTCCCATAGAATTGTGGGAGTTGAAGCCAACATGGCGTTCTCTTTAAAGTAGTTTGAAATCGATTCTTGGATAGTTCCCAGCGCTTCGCTGAAAGATAGCATAGAATCATTGAGACACCAGGAATAATGTTCTGCAACAAAGCAGGAGAGGTGAGTGATCCGACCACGGTGTAGTCAGGATCTTAACACTAATGACGTTCGGAATTAAAGTTTGGGGGATAAGGAAGTGATATAAACATGTATGGCAGTTATGGGGTGCCGAATAATAACTGAAATCTCGTACGCGGGGGTTGAATTCTCTCCAGGCATCCACTAACACATATTTTGGATAAAAGGTCTACGAATCTTTGTGTTTGCGAATTTGTATCCGTGGAGTGTCAATGGGGATCAGTTGGAGGGGATCGATCTATTTGTCTATTAAGCAATAGGTTGCTGTCGCCCATGACGATCAAAGTGCCTTGCCTATGTGAGGAGATTACCTTCAGTAAGTGGGAGAGGAAGCGGGTTTGATAAGCTTTCGGAGCATAGTAATTGACTATGGTCACGTCGACGTCAGAAATGGACCCCTGTAACATCAAGTATCTGCCTGTCTGGTCAAAGAACAGGTGAAGGGGGTGTTTTTGTGGAAGGCCACACGGACGCCTCTCCGTTTCTCTTCATAATTTGCCTGGAAGACCTAGGGGTAATTTTTATGAAAATATTTATGGAGGGAGGATGCGGAGTATCGGGTTTCCTGTAGCCCTATGATGTGAGCTCGGAGTGAAACATAGTAGGTAAAGGCACAATTACGTTTTCTACATTACATTTTTACATTATGGGATTCGATAGTGAAATTGGAAGTAACCATCATGGCAGATAGAGGGTGGGATAGCTGTTGAACCCATAGGTGAACCATGGTATGTCAGGTGTGTAATGGTCAGGCTTTTTCCTCATCCTGGGAAATAGAGAAGAAGAAAGTTAAAAAAAGCAAAGTAAGTTGTAGAAGGCTCAACCGCAGGGGTGTCAAGATAGCGATTGCCTAAGCAATCGTAGGCAGTGGATAAACAAAATGCCATGGTTGGGGGTCGCTGGGACCCCCCCCCCAGGCACACATTGTATAACGTAGTTGGAAAACATTTGAAAAATGAACCATCGTTGAACAGCCTAACCGGAAAAGAAAGGGGGGGGGAGAAAAGTTTGGGGTGGGAAGGTAGGGAGGGAGGAGAGAGGATGGAGGAGGAATAGGAAAGAGTTGAGAGTGAGAAAAGGCAGGGAAAGAAAGTAAGTACGAGTGAGGGCACCATCATACATATACACTTGGTAACATAGCAAACTACCTTTTAGGTAAATTAACAGTAAGGGGTCGCCGATCGCTCAGTCGGGACCAGGGAAAGCTGTGACTAGCAGGTTCAGAGGACCACGATCTAAGGTATCCAGATGGGTGGGGTACTAGGTGAGGAGCACAAAGTATGCCCCACTCCCCACCACCTTCACATTAAAGAGGACATGGCTTTGTAGAGGCTTCACCCGGGTCCCGACCACGGTGGCGAGCCCACAAATTCAGATGGAGTAAAGGAAGGACACAGGATCCTAAAAAAAAACAAATGGGAGAATTAGTATTTGGAGGTATGAAGGTTCCAGTAGAGGCATCCTGGCAGGGGTGCGTCAACTCTGAAGCAGGTGGGCCCGTTAAAAACAAGAGTGAGCTGGGTGAGGATTACAGCGGAATTCAGTCCTCCTCCAGAATGTCTGGCTGGGTAACTTGTTTGGTTTGTCTCTGTGGCGGTCGTTCTCAGTTTCCCAGAGGGGAGTGAGGCAAGGAGATTTGCGGGAAGAGGTCGACAATGTCTGCGAGCCGGTGTAAGTTGGTAGCATTAGTTGTAGCCTGGTAAGGACTTCCTGGACTTCTTCAGGTGTGGAGAAAGCATGGGGTGACCCTGGAAGTAAAAGGTTAATTTAAAAGGGAAAGTTCTAGCAATATTTGATTGGTAGTGTTTGGATGAAAGACTTCAATTCTCTGCGTCTCTGAAGCGTTTGTGGAGTGAGGTCAGAGAATATTTGATATTTGTGGGATTGCTTGCATTACCGCTTCTTTGGTTTTGCAGAAAGTGAATTTAATGATGTCTCGGGGGGGGGGGGGGGGGTCCTCAGGTCTTTTTGGGCCCAGGGCTCTGTGGATTCTATTGAATTCCAACCGATTGATTGGGATTCCAGGGATAAGTTTCTGTAGCAACGCCATAACTGTGGAATTTAAGTTTTCTATTGATTCTGGGAGGCTTCTGATCCGAAAGTTACCTCACCTACTATGGTTCTCCAAGTCTTCAAGTTTTTATAAAGCAGAAGAGAGGTCCAATTTGATTGTGTCAATATCTTGTTCATGGTTGTCGATTACGAGGATGGCGTCGTCGATTTTGTGTTTGAGATCGTCTATTCGGGACCCTATGTCCCTAATTCTGTGGTAAGGTGTTCCTTGGCTGTGTTCACTGCGTTTTGAAGTAGGAGTTTTAAATTTCTCGAAGAGGGCTGAGTCACGGATTGTCGTATCAGTAAGTTCTTCATGCTGGGTGATTTGGACACCGTTGTTAGACGAAATGTCTAATTGGGAGCTGGTTTCTTGGGAAAAAGATGAATATTCGGTTGACGTGAGGCCATTTTTTATTGAGATCCTTTGGTGGGATTAGTAGAAGCTTTAGTAGAACTAGTTGCTGGTTTTGTCAGCTTGGCTGGAGTACCTATGGAGTGCTTTCCCATGATCTCAGTGACAAGGTCTCCCCTTGATGGATAACGTGTAGTAAAGACTTCAGCAGTGCAGTTTCGCCTCCTCGGGATTAATGCGTATCATCCGTGAGGAAAAGGGATCCGGCCGGTGTAGCTATGCAAGCCTCCAGATGTGCCGAGGGGCCAGTGCAAGTGAGGGGCGAGGGTTAGGGGCGGTCCGCCACGAAATAGGAGTGTGGCGAGGGGTTTGGAAGGCGCATGGGGAAAATGCGTCTCACTAGGGGTAATCAGTGTAGGCCAGAGGCCCAGGAGAGGCTGTGGGACCCCCTGGCTTCCTATCACCGCAGAAAATGCCCCGGAGGGTGTTGCCCTTCTTCTCAGAACCCTGGGCCCTGTGTGGCCTAGCAGGCCTCTAAAATCCGGGAAGCCTGGGGCTATATTTGTGGCGCTCACCGGAGGTGAGTCCTCCCACAGGGTGCCAGCCCTCCACAGTGGGCTGCAGCAGGGGCTTGAGTCCAGGAGAGGGGAGCTCTGGAGATGCGCGAGGTGCCCAGGGTCTACTGGATGAATGCGCTGGCAAGGAGGCGAGCACGGGCCATGGGAAAATGGCGGCCGCTGATAGAATGCGGGCCCACAGTGTCTCCTTCAGGAGTCAGGGCGGAAAGCTCTACGGTCTCTGCTTATTGAGCGGACCTATCGGTCCTGTGAGATGCCAGGGGTGAGTGGGGGGGGAAAGAATCTGGCGGGCAGGCTCGTCCCCCATCGGTCCAGGAATGGTGGTGTACCTGGGAGGTGAGGAGCCGGGCTAGGGAGCGAACATCTCTCTTGTCTGCTCAACAGCTCCCCCTGGGAAGGTCATTTTCAATAATGTTATTGTGTTTGTAACTCTAAAAAATAACTTCTTTTATTTCCCCCTTTGGTCACTTAAAAATACTAAAGAAAGCGTTTCTTATAGGTGATCAATAAGTGTTAAAAATACCTATTGATCCTGCCAGAAATCCAGTGAGCTCTTAAAGTGATAATAGAGGCATTTTTTTAAAATAACAAACATGTTTTACTTACCTGCTCTCTGCAGTGGTTTGGCACAGAGCAGTCCCTTCTCGGGTCCTCTTAGGTGGTTCTGGCCCCTCTCCCTTGCTGAGTGCCCACATAGCAAGCAGCTTGCTGTGAGGGCACCTAAGCAAGCTCGCTTCCAAGCTGCTGCTCTGCATATCCATTCACACACAGAGCCGTGGCTCCGCCCCGCCCTCTCTCTCCTCATTGGCTCACTGGCTGTGATTGACAGCAGCAGGAGCCAATGGTTCCCACGGCTGTCTTAGCCAATGAGGAGTGAGAGTCCCCGGAGAGCCGAATGTTTTGCCTTTCATTTCTATTTTAAACTGAGTGGGTTGTTTTACAAGGTGGGGGTTTATAAATATTTTCTGTTATTTTGTGTATTCTTAAGTTTTATTTCAAGCAATATTTTTCTCAGCTCTGCCCAGTTCTTTCTGTGAACTACAGAACACTGCCACCATGCAATGAAAACATGGAGAGAAAGAGGTCCTGCCCTATGGTGACTTCTCCTCCATATATAGAGTATGGTGAGTGAATGTTGTCACCCTAGGATAGGAAGTGTGTTACTGGCAGGATCACCAGGTGAAAATAAAGGGAAAAAAAAGAAGTCTAAAAAGGGGAATCAAGGCAGCCATCACACCTAAGGACTTGTAATCTGCAGTATGTTGCATTTTTTCTCTTTGGGTTTACATATGCTTTAATTTACATAATTGTCTTTTTATAATTTATAACATTTTTAAAAAAGTGGATTTTTCATTTCATAATGCTGATTTTTTTTTTTTTTTTGTGTACAGATCCTCATCATCATGACATGTATATTAATGTCAGTGATTTCCTGGCACCTATAAATTCTGAAAGACCGGAACCGAACACTACAGGTAGGTCAGCTCACTCTCAGGATTGAGAATAAAGAAGTTATTAATTTGGTCACCGGTCCACGCCCTTCTCTGGAGATTGCACTGACAACACACAGTATGAAAGTGACAGTCTATGTCTTTTTTCTTTTCATGGCCGAAGGACATCCAGTCCTTTCCTTCCCAACCTGACTGTCCCTGGGCACCACTTTTCATTCATTGGATTACAATTGTTTCAATCATGGAGGCTCAGCAATACATGTGGGTGTTACCTAAGGCAGTCTTCCTGCAAATGCATTTTTCTTGGGAGTGCCCACTCCTCCAGTCTCACATCCACAAATTATTATTATTATCATACAGGATTTATATAGCACAGCGCTTTACAATATAAAGGGGGACAGTACAATTATAATACATTTCAGTACAAAAGGAATAGGAGGGCCCTGCTCATGTAGCTTACAATCTAAAGAAAGGGGGAGGTGGTACAAAAGGAGATAGCTGCGGGGGATGATCTGATGGAGGTGGCTCAAGTACAGTTCTTAGGTGGAGGTGGGGTAGGCTTCCCTGCATAAGTGAGTTTTCAAAGAACGCGTAAAGGCAGACAGGGTGGGGGCTGACCGGACATACTGGGGTATGGAGTTCCAGAGGATGGGAGAGGCTTTGGAGAAGTCCTGGAGGCGAGCATGGGAGGAGGTGATGAGGGAGCTAGAGAGCAAGTTGTCTTGGGAAGAGCGAAGTGGGCGATGTGGGCGGTATCTGTGGATAAGGTCGGTGATGTAGCTAGGGGCAGTGTTATGGATGGCTTTGTATGTTCTAATTAGTATTTTGAATTTTATACATTGGATCAGTGGAAGCCAGTGAAGGGATTGGCAGAGAGGGCAGCAGTCGCTGATCGGTTGGTAAGGTGTATGAGTCTAGCAGCAGCATTCATAATAGACTGAAGGGGGGATAACCTGTGTAACGGTAGACCAGTGAGGAGGAAGTTGCAGTAATCAAGGTGTGATATAACCAAGGCGTGGATAAGTTGTTGATATTTGCATAATTCTTCCTAAGGGCCACTCCACTGCTTGCATCAGTACTGAGGGCTGATGAGGGGGATACAGAGGAAGGGTGCTGTGATGTTTTTCAGAAAGCTATGTACAGCATCCTACAAGCCCTTCTTGCCAGCCATGATTGGTTTACATCGCACAGAGACCCATTGATGACATTACTGGGTCTAACAAAAGGGATATGTAATGAAAATGGAAAAATGTTGTTACCATGTTGATGAGGGGGTAAAAAGAACACAGGGCAGGTACAATGTGTCTCTTAGATTGTAAGCTCCAAGGAGCAGGGCCCTCCTATCCCTCTTGTATTGAACTGTATTGTTGCTATATTGTCTCCCTTTATATTGTACAGCGCTGAGCAAACTGTTGGCGATATATAAATCCTGTATAATAATAATAATAATACAATGTAAGCAGATTAAACTTCAGCTTCAAATGGCAGGGCTTGTATCATGTATGTATGTATGTGTGTATGTATGATTTGCTGTTCCATGTAAATTTCTACAGAATGTGATGACACTTTATACATGAGCAAGATAGATTCATTCATTTTTATGATTGTACCGTAACATATGAATCCATGAAAGTGTTATGTACACCTTAAATTTGTTTTCAGAGTATTTGGCATCATGTCTAAATCTATTCCATTTTCTATAGCAAATTCATTTTTTGTAAATCTTTTGCAGAGTTTCTTACCTTTACCATCCAGTTAGTAACAGCACTTCCTGTTATAGGCTGACAATGCTAAGCCTCTGAATTTTCAGCAGTGTTGTCAGCCTGCCATGTGCATTTCTTCATTTGGCCATTGGGCTGCCTATACAAGCATAACAACCAACTGAAGGAGTACAGGATGACAACGCTGCTGCTAATTGCAAAGCTGTAGCTTAGCGTTGTCGGCCTGAAACAGGAAGTGCTGTTAATGTCTGGATCGCCAGGTAAGAAAATAAAAGATTTACAAAAGTTCATTCAAGATAACTGTATACATTGAATCATGATGGCAAATATAAACTGTACACATTGAATCATGATGGCAAACATATAAAAATACATTTTAGGTTTACATACACTTGAAATCTTAATTTGAAAATTCCGTTGATTAAGATGTACATGCCTGCAGAGACGGATTTATGTCATGTCTAATATATTCAATTCCATTCTCTAAATTTTTCTCTGGCAGAGTGGAGGGAAAACTTTCTACGTCTCAAAAGGCTGGTTCTCATAGGAGGTCCTAACGATGGTGTCATTACTCCATGGGAATCCAGGTATATGTTTTACTGTAACACTGCAAGACAGGTGACCCATGGGTATGGAGTGCTGGGGCCCTCTGCTGTATGTTTCTGCCATTACAGAAAGCCCAGAAAATTGCTATATCCCTGAATATCATATCCTCTAATTCAATTTTATTCTTGTTTCAGCCACTTTGCATTCTATGATGAAAATGAGAAGGTGGTAGAGATGCAACAACAGCAGGTTTGTATTGTCATACATTTTCTTGGATAAAAAGACTGGATAGTGCTATTTCCGTTATAAGTGGTATCAGATGGGCTGAACAATCATTGTCTTCCTATATCTTCTATGAAGGGATATATTTTGCTTGCCCATAGTTGTACAGCTTAAAGTCTAACTCCTTATTTTCTCAGTTTTCCAGCTGGATAAAATCCTACATGGAGACTGGAAACTCCCTTTAAAGATCCATGTAAAAAACCCAGCAATTTAGTCACTTTGGAAACTGTACTGGACTACCTGGGATTAAGTCCAACAAGGTGCATGTAACCTTGTGGACTCATCTCCTTAGTATACAATTTTATGGAGCACCAGAAGCATTACTATCGCTACACTTCTGGTGCTCCAGCACTGTAACCATTGGTCTCAGCTCCAGCAGCTGCAGAGTCGCATGCAGCCCCTGTGCCTGCCCCTCCGTTCCTCCTGTCCAAGAGTGCTTTGCTTTATGTGAACTCAGTCACAAAATGCAAATACATGAGAATAGAAAGCAGAGGGGAAGGGCAGACAGCAATGCTGTGTGTGAGAAGACCACGTCTCTCCTGTCAAAGCTCCAGGAGTGTAGAGATAGCTGTACTCACAGAGCTCCATAAAACTGTCAGATGTAAATTAAAGAGACAAATCCACCAGGTGGCATGCATCTCGTTGGACTTAGCTCATAGTATGCCATCAAATTGTACAATTTGGCTAAGTTCCCGGAGTTCAGCTTTAAGGCTCCATGCACACTGGGTGGTTTAATAACGCTGTTAACATTAGCTGTGTAAAGTCATGTTAAAAATGTGAGTTTTTCAGCGTTTTTGTATTAGAGTTTTGCTGCGTTTTTTCACGTTTGCGGTTTTTAGCCTTTTATTTGACCCCCAAAATTTTTTTCTTTTGTCAGAAAAAGTCCAAAAACGCTGGTTTGCCACAATTAACCGCGTTTTTCAGTGTTAGAGCATTTTTACAGCGAAAAAACTCCTCTAGAAACCCACTAGTTCTGTTTTTTTTTTTTTCCAGCCAAAAAATGCCCCTGCCAAAAAACGTTGGTTACAGTCTACGTATGTGTGCATGGACACATAGGATAACATGCTGGGGAGTTTACTGGCTGTAGAAAAAATTGGCAAAAACCAAAAACAGCCGCTGCAAAAACGTCCAGTGTTCATGAGGACTAAGGGAGAACTAAACCCATCGATTAAAATTTTTCCCAACACCGTTATATTCAAGGCATGCCTGATGAATGATGACTGTCACAATTGCCTATTTCCTCAACCGAGCTGTCAAACTACCAAATGGCTGGTGTCATAACTGATCACATGTGCAACACCTTAGCAACTTCAGATCAAACAGAGAGGTTAAAGCGGAGCTCCACCCATAAGGGGAAGTTCCGCTTTAAGGACTGCTCCCCATTAAGGATTGGCACCTTCAGGGAGCGGGTACCCGAATTTGACAGGTACCGGCTCCCACTTCCGGTCCGATCACCTAGGCCAGGGGTAGGCAGCCTGCGGCTCTCCAGCTGTTGCAGGACTACAAGTCCCATCATGCCTCTGCAAGTCATAGCTGTAACTGTCAGTTTTGTAATGTTGCAATGCCTCATGGGAAATGTAGTTCCACAACAGCTAGAGAGCCGCAGGTTGCCTACCCGACCTAGGCGATCGGACACGGAGAGTGTCCTCCCTCCCTGTATTCTTTTGGGACACGTGACAGGTCCCAGAAGACTACAGGACCATTCATGAAGCGCAGCGCTACTCGTGCCCACACTGAAGATGCCGGCCTCCTGGAATAAAGGGCGGCCGGTAAAACGGGCTGCGCGGGACACAGCGAGACCGGGGGACAGGTAAGTGGCTGTTTTTTAAAAGTCAGCAGCTACAATTTTTGTAGCTGCTGATGTTTATTTTATGACAGGGTGAGCGGAACTCCGCTTTAAGATGGCAGCTTCCTTGGCTATCAAGGATGTGAAGGTTTAGTTCTGCTTTAAGCATGAGAGCCCTATGTTAGTACAGATTGCCCATGTCAACCAGCAAAATCGGCACCTAATCACACAGGTGTTTTGCTTTACTGTTAACCCCCTTTAATACTCTTTCATATTAAACAAAGCTGTTTGTCCCTAGGTGTATGAGGAGGATACATTTGGTCTTCGCACTCTGAATAAACGAGGAGGAATCGCAATTTACTCTATTCCAGGAGTCATTCACACAATGTGGCACTCCAACAAGACCGTCTATAAGGAGTGCATCGAGAAGTGGCTCACGTAACGTCTCAGCGGTCTACGTCAGCTTATCACACATCTGCCATTTACCTCCTTGAGGCCTCCTCTCTGCCGCGGTTTGACTTGGACCTTCTGCACCTCAGTATTGAGCTTTCCTGTCCCGTCTCTTGTGGTCAGCTGCAATCTTCCCTTGTCCTTTTTTGCAAACCCGTATCCCTTTCAACCAGCCTTTCTTCTAAAGGTCACCTGAATTCATTTCATGACTCAAGTGCAGTGCGCCATGCTCGACATTACCAGGACAGGGGGGTCTCATTTGCATTATCTAACAATCAACGGGCTATCTAGGGTACTTTATTACCCCCCAAGACTTTTTCTGAAGGTAGATAATGTTCTGTTTATAACCTTTTATAGGAAACTGAATTTTGGGAAGCGATTTGCACTGTGGGGGGGGGGGGAGGGGGGGGGGGGGGTGGTTGTTGCCATTATACAATTGGCAATTACCTATTACAAAACAGGGATCCTCTACCTCCACACCTTAATCATCTGCTGTCAAACAATGTACTAATATTGGGTGCTTTTTAAAGTTCCTTCAGGCAAAAATTAGGAACGCTCCTGCTCAGCCCTTACCCATAGGCAGAAATGATCGTTCAAAATGGACCTTTCCAGCTATATCTGACTATACATGCGTTAAGATGGAGATTGAGTCAAAAGGACTAGGACAGTATGTGGAGATAACTGAGAATATTATCTGGTTGAGAAAAGTGCTCACAGACATGAAGGAAAAGATTGAAGTTTATTAAAGCCCAAAACCGCTGAAAACTGCTTATTAAATTTGGAATGAGCAAAGCTGGGCTGAATTTCCAAACCGCTTAGATCTCTTTGAGCCCCAAGTGCTGCCTTAAGATTTCTCTGCAGTAATTGATGCCTCCACCCCCTACCACACAGTCATAACAGAGGTATCACTGGCTCCCACTTATTAACGAGTGAGTCCCAAGGGTCTCAATGGAAGAACCAGGCAATCTGTCTTACATCCTGTGGATTTACTTCTCACCAACACGCCGCTTTGATGTGTGCTGAAAAAAAAAAAAAAAGGCAGGATTTTATTTTTGCACAGTGTGTTCCAACAGGCTATAATGCATTGCAGTGTGCTGCAGGGCAAAGAATTGCATAGAAGTTAAAAAAGAAGGAACATAAACAATCACCGAAATGTAATAACAATGCATTATAGTGTAGAGCAGCATGCGTTTACACCACATTGGATTGTACGCATGTTATGCTACAATATCACACGCAGTGTGGTGTGAACGAGTCCTAAAGGCCACAGTGCCCATTACATGTTTTGAAAGATGTTTTCTAATGAGCATATTCCCGTCTATTTTACCTCTAATAGATCTGGTACTGGTGAAGCCAGAGGATTAGGATGGTGTGGTTCCTGCCTCCATGGTACCTTTACAAGAGGGGTATAAAGATCCCTTCCATTTCAAACGTGACACCTCCAAATCTATTGATCCTTAGCAGTTTGTGGGTGATACTTGAGTGTGAGCAGATGAGCCCTCTGCTAAACCCATTGACTACTATAGAGGGTAGTAGAAGCCAATCAGCTTTCAGGTTTTATTGTCAAAGCTTAAAGTGTTACTAAACCCACAACAGTACAATCAGCCTGTATATGCAGGAAAGCATGCTTGTTATACTCACTATGGAAGGGGTTAATCCCCTGCATTGTGTAAAAAGGCTGTTTGATCCTTTCTTCTCTGTTCCTCCCCTTTTTCAAGTGACACCTCTTATCTCCAGACTGAACCATAAGTATGCACATGTTCAGTTTGGTGTGTATTGCTAGAGATGTTTTTGTTTTTCCTTGGGAGAGTGAATGTGATAAGTACAGGGCCAATCAGCACTGTCCAGACAGAGGTCAGGAGATTTGCATCCTCCTAGAGTAGAAGGAAAGCTCCTCCTACAAGCTTTAGCTAGTGCTGGGCTGGACATTGATAGTAGTCACAAGACTGCTCTTACTGCTGATGAGAAAAGGTATTTAGCAGTTGATATTTACTAAAATAATTGCATTTCCATGTTGTGTGTACTGTGGGAGACCAGATATAGTGAATGCAGGGTCCTGGGTTTAGTAACACTTTAATTGAACAAGCTGAAGTTAGAAGCTGATTGGCTACCATGCACAGCTGCACCAGATTCTGAGTGCAAAAGTTAGTAAATGTCCCCTAAATTGTCAAGGGTCATTAAACTAAAATTTTGGCGAGCATAGATTGTATACAATCCATCCTTTGGAAGAGAAAGTTTTTAAGTAAAAATACATTTTAAAACTAGTTCATTTTAATTAAAATTCAATTAATTTTAAACAAATATTTTAAATTAGTAAAATTGTTCAAATCAATTGTAAAATTAAAAAAAAAGTAAAACTAAAATTTGGGTACATTGACATTTGCTGGTGCAAGGAAGCTCTAGTGTAAAACAAGCAGTCCTGTGCAATCCGATGAGGATTATTGTCTAGTTAGGACTCACTTTCAAAGATCAGCTTCTAGAGTGATGACATCGAACAAGAAACTCTTCACTTGTGTTGCAGCAGCACATGTGGAATCAGATGATTTTTAAATGAATTACTTTTTTTTTTTTTTTCCTTTGTCAGTGTACCTTTGAAGAGATCTGCTTAGATTTATGGCATTGAAAATGTGTAATAGAGGCCATACACATATAGTTACATAGTTAGTCTGGCTGAAAAAAGACAAAAGTCCATCCAGTTCAACCATTAAAAAAAAAAAAAGTTATAATCCTATACCCACAGTTGATCCAGAGGAAGGCAAAAAACCCAGCAAAGCATGATCCAATTTGCTCCTGCAGGGAAAACAATTCCTTCCTGATCCCCCGAGAGGCAATGGGATATTCCCTGGATCAACTAACACGCTTTGATTTTTTTTTTCCTCTATCCAATTAATGTGCAATTTAAGACGATTGAATCTGCAAACAATCAAATAGCCATAACTTCACTACGACCTTAACCTGAGCTTAGAACATCGCTCAGAGCCAGGGATTCCATTCCTATGATCCGAAGGTAAAGGGTTTCAGACTGTCAATATGCCCATCCAGAGCAGTGTGTGCAGTAAATACAGAAACCGCCGCTTTTCCAGTCCGCCACTATAACCTGTGTATGAAGATTGGCTTCACCCTACATGTCTCCTCCAAGAAACCACACCTAGTGACGCATTTCATCCCACCCACCCCATGACCAAGCTCTGGTGGTTGGGGTGAAACGCGTCATGTGGCGTGGTTTTTTGACGGAGACATGAAGACTAAAGCCGATCCTCAAAAAAAGCGCAAACCCCTAGTGCATTATCCAAGGTTTATTAAAAGTAAAAAGGATGAAAACATACTCCCAAATATGGCATAAATGTAAAGCTTCGTAGAACGATACAGATGGCCATAACATTGGCGGGGTGTCTGACTGTCAGTATGGTCGGCCGCTGATGCGTTTTGGGGACAAGTCCCTTTCCTCAGAGCTGGTTGACCAGTTGTTGATTTCCCTATCTGAGGAGGGCAGCATCTCTGAAAGGCTATCCATAGGCGTTTTTGGTCCTGGTTCCCCTGGCTTTCCTTTGGCATTTGATCCCTGCAGCGCTGGAGAGTTTATTCTGTTATCCGGTAAAGCCGATCCTCATACTCAGGATTTGGTTGGAAGGAGCAGCGTTTTCTATCTTTAACCCTTTGAGGACCAAGGGACGTATTTGTCCCATGTTTTTAATTGCGTGTATCATCTGATTAAGAGCTTAAAACACTTTTTTTTTTTTTTTTTTTTGGTTTGAGTCAAAATATTAGTTCTTATCAACAAAACAACAAATGGATCTAGCTTTTTGCCAATTATTTCATGAAATTGCTTAGTTACAGCAACTGAAGTGTACGAACTTTAAAAACAAAAAAATTGATTCTTTTGGCGTTCGAAAATCTTACGGTCCTCAAAGGGTTAATAGTTCTAATTTCCCTTTTTTGATCAATGTAAGCTCACTGTTGATTGGATCCAATCAGTTGATTGGCCAGGACAGTCAATGATTGCTCCCTTTTTGTCAGTCGGAAGCACTGAGATACTTGTTCATAATACGGTCATATTTTGATCAATCAGATTATGAGATTGCATGGTGGAAACAGAGTTGAGATTTATGGCTTTCGATCATAAGTTATGATCATATTTTAACGATCGATTGAAATCCACTTCCTCACATGTTGCATGACCATTGAATGAACTGTTGACTCTAGATCGATTTTTTTTTTTTTTTCCTATCAGAGGAGGTCAAATGGAAAAGAAATCAATCATTTAGGTGTGTGTGGCCATCATGAGGACTCCAGTGGTAACTAGTGGCTTCATTGAGGATCATTTATGAAACTCAGTAAAGAGCCTTGGGAGAAAAAAGGTGTTACCCAAACCAGCCAGTTAGGGAACAGCTTACTGGTTTTAGCCTGGATTTAAAATGGCAGCTTGGAGTCACACTGATTGATGTGGTAAATATTTTGGTTTTCCTTTGCATTTTACTAGGTACAAAATACCATAAAGCCCAACTTCAGCCCAAGCTTTTTTTTTTTAATGTTTGGATAGCATGGGGTAGTTTTAGAACTTTGGTAAAGCAGAGCTATTCTTACCTCCGCTTACCTCTCTTTCTGGTTTTGGGACCTTTTGGCCATCTTGATTGGCCGGGCCAGAATGATGTAACTTCCACGTATGCGTACAGGAGTCCACTTGTGGCACCAAGTTTTGCCGAGAATGTACAATAATTTGTACGTTCTAAAAAGTCCTGAGAAAAGGCAGGTAAGTTTGTTTTATAGCAGTAGAGGCATAGCATGTCTCTTCTGCACTTAAGAGCTTGCCTACAATTCCGTTTCATAATTAAGCTTTAATATTGTAAATTTTTATTAAGGACCAGTGCCCATTTTTTTTCAGAACATAGTTACAACAACAACACTTTGGGTGTAAACGTTGCAATGAAAGAAAACCGTCATCAGTATAAAAGAAAATAAAAACAGAAGAATTATGAACATAAATAGACAGCA